TGAAGAAGGAAGGCACTAGAAGAAAGTAAAGGCCCACCTACTCTCATGAATGGGCCCACAGTGACAGCCCCTAGCTACCATAAAAATCTTTGCCGATGACCTTGTTAACCAAATTTATATTTTAAATAAGGACCCGGGTTTTATGAGTCCATGTAGACATGAGGCGCCTCTTAAAAATCTATTTTTACGATGGATTTTCGGATTTAATTTTTAAAAATATGTAATATCTAACATGGAGATCATGAATATGAAAAAAAAAAAAATTTAAAAAAATTAAAATAATAAATCTATTAAAAAAATATTTGGACAGTTAATTTCAATTATTTTTAGAGGGACCACCTATTTGCATCTATCTTTAAGATGGATGTTTTATATCTCTGGACCACATATGTAGAAATGCAGTCCAACCCACATTAAAATAATTTTCCTTTAAATAAATATCATCTCATAAATAATTTGTGATTGGAAAATTTTCCCATGAGCAAATTGTATTAATAGTTGATTTAAATGTGACCAGCGCATCTGGACCTTCCACCCTCATGGAGGGTCCAATTAATCAATATATGGCGTGGGCTCACATTTAATGCCATAGGTGGGACTGAAATTGCTTGAATGGACCATTCCCACATGAATGGACAGTCACACACTAGAAGTGGATGAAATCTCCATTAACCTGGCGCATAGAATCATTCCCCCTTGTGATTTTGAGGTTTTATTTGAAAATTCAAATTTTGAGGTTTTATTTGAAAATTCAAATTAAGTACTTATAAGATTCCTTCATTTCCCATATGTAGAACCCAATAGTGTCAAGTAGAGCCCTTGCTTTTCTGAGTGAGAAACTTTCAATGTAATCACGCGGAGAAACTCTCTCATTTGACTAGATGTGGGAGTTTTTTTCACACCAATTAGTCTCAATATATTTTTATCACGTTAATTGGCAACCATTTAATGTGAAAAAAACTCACACCAAATCACAAAAAAATCGTTTTTTTCATGTGAAAATATATTTACAGGAGCATTTTCACGTATACCAAACATGCCGTTAGTTTTGAACCTTAAAAAAAAGTTTCATAGTTTTGCACCCAAGGTGTATGTGATGCTAAAGAACCCTAATTTTTTTGCCCGTTTGTGAATAGATAATTTGGAGCTATATTTGACCATTATTGCGATCACATAAATAAATCCCGATTTTTCTTAATGATATTGCCGAGTTCGATTTGACTTTTTTTATCATATATTTGGATCGCAAGGATCCCGGCCAAAGTTATATTAATTGTTTTTTAAGGTAAAAGAAGGAAATGTAGAACAGTAAAACATCTATTACCCACTTCATTGCTAATTTAGAGGGGACCAAGCATTTCAATGACAATAATATTGAAACTAGAAAAGAAAAAAGGGGAATTTACAAGATGTTGGCAACATCATTGTAGACACTCGGGTAGTGATTTCATGCTATGGTTATATCATAGTATCATGCAACTATACTTCTAGAAAACTCTGTATATGGTATTTGTATCATCCAAAAGTCATGTTTTACTTTTGGAATTAAAAAATAGTTTCAACATGTTTCATATTTTACTCCTAAATCTCACATTTTGAAACTATATGGTGCATTTTAATTTTATTTTGTTATATATTAAGTTGAACTCAAATGTGTCCTATGTCTATCATCGTCGTCGTCGTCAAAGCTTGTTTCCAACTAATTGAAATTTGCTACATAAATCTTAGTCATCATTCAGCTCTACTATGGGTCATACACTCAATGAATACGATTCACATCTTCACTCCCCCCTCTCGTCCCCCTCAACTCGAATTATATGTGCAACATCTTCATCAACCTCTCTATTTTCTTGGAATATCGACCCAATAAATTGAAGTGCATTCTTTTTGGTATTTCTTGACCATCAATATTAACTACTTCCTCTACCCCTATTATTATAAACTTGCATTCCACATACTCTATCTTAGTCCGGTTAATTTTAAAACTTTTAAATTCTAAAGCATCCCTCTAAAGTTCTAATAGTATCACGTACTTATAAAAACATGAAATATATGGTTTTAAATTTCAAAAATAAAACAATATTTCTCTATACAATTTTCAAAGAAAAAATTACTAAAAAAATGATATAATAGCCGCTACTACAACGGACATTTATGGATGGTGCTTGCCTTATCTGGCTCAAGGACATTCATGGGTGGTGTACCATACAGGACAAAAATTACCCGTTATGATCAAATTTAAGTGATTTTTTAAAGTTTCTGACGGCCACTATATATTAACGACATAGGCAGTCAAATGAATCCTATTATTTTCCTTTTTCTAAAAAGTTGCCTTCTATGTTATAAATTCATTATTCTTGAATATAGTGTAAGAAAACAAACAAATGGCACCACCATCATATTGGTTACTATAATATTACAATTATTTTAAATATCACCATCTTAACTATTTAAGGTCGGCTACATAAATTTTTATTTGTCATTCTGGCTCTATCATAGACCGTACCCACAATGAAACCATAAGTAAAAGATAGACAAAATACTTTCCCCCTCTTAATTCTTATTTATTTCAAAAACCTCGATATATTGGTAATGTATATTTTGAATATTTCCAACTTTCACTTTCTGCCATAAGTTGAGCCGTTATGTGCGATTTGCCAGCATACAATGCTAGTTATTTGTTTGAAAATCACGACTTCCATGTATTGAAATTTTGATATTTGTTATCCTGCTCTAACACATTTGAGAAAAATTATAAGGAAAAGTCTCGTGTCCACATGATGTGGATGGATGAAGGGTGAATAGGCACACTTCCAGTTCAGACTGAATCATTTTACGTCCAACGGTTCACATTCAGTTTCATATTTTATTTTTTAGTTTTTTTTTTTAAAAATATTTAGACCTGGAATTTAAGACATATATATATATTTTTATAAATCACAGTAAATAAAAATTCTATTTTCAATAAAATAATTATCCAAAATACCCCCAAAAGTTTTAGAAGTATTTTAGTTACTTTATTTTATTCAAAATAGTTTTTTTGCTTGGGGCCTAATTTAAAAAAATATATCCTAAATTGAAAGTAAAAATAATTGTTAAAAAATTGCATATAATAAAACCATTTAATTTTGATACGAGGAGATCACAATCATTATTGAATGTTAGATTCAAAATCGTATGATCAAACATGTGTCATTGTTTAGTCACAAAGTTCAAAATAACATTTCTCGAATATTGTGACAATCTTTCACCTATTAGATTTCACATCCAATGGCCAAAAATGATTATAACTTCTTTATATCAATAAATAAAGCAAAAAATTTATATAAGGATGCAACCTTCTAATGTAGAACTCCGGATGCACCTCAAAAATTCATTGAAAAAAGTAGTTTTAATTTTGAAAAACCCTTTGATTAATCATCTCAACATCGAGATGTATGACTATTAAAAATAAAAAAAAATTAAGTCTTCAAAATAATGCATTTTACAACATATTATCTACACTGTCCATTTTCAAAATTTTCATAAATTTATAAATCTACTTGATTTTAACTATTTTTAAAATTTAAAATTTTATAATTAGATATAAAAGTAGATTTTGAGATAATCCTAAAGACATTTTACATCAAAATTATATACCATGATAAAATTTAAAAGTACATCTTACCTTTATAAAATTTAAAAGTACATCTTACCTCTACAGCTATAGATGCATCCATATGCCAGCTGCACTGGAAGCATCCATATGCCAACTGTACCCTTATAAAAATGGTATGATAGTATACAATCCCAAATTACAAAAAAAAATTATTTTTTTACTAGTGAATGTGACAGTTCAATATGGACCGTTGAAATCACGCGAGGATGTACCATCCAAATTATAGTGTCCCTTGTGATACCTAGTGACACATCATTGGACTACGTATTTCTTTATTTGTTCCCTACTTATGTATCCGTGATCTATGGACTTTCAGCCCATAGACTAGGGCAATAGACTTAAAAGCTTCAATGGCCTAGGCTATATAGCCTATAATGTAGAACCTCACTTTCTATGACCTACTTTTATTCGAATCATAAAAAGAACCGTATAAAGAGGGAGAAAGATGTGCGTTTGGTATTAGTACCCATTGTCTTATTTGCAATTTTGCACAAAGAGGAAAGGGCATTCCCCACTTTACAGCTTTATTTTATCTTTTTATGCATAAAAAAATAAATATCCATTATTCATATGATGACAATTTCGATAAGAGTCATTTTTCCAACCTAACCCTCTAGTGCATGTCGCTTTTGGGCATGCATAGGCTTCCCCATTTGCCCTATGAAAAGGCTGTATGATATTTTTTTATAAGAAATATATACTTTTCATATAATGAAGTCATAATTATTATTAACTATTAAATTTAAAATTGATCAGCTAAAATTGTATTATTAGTTGAATAGAGTCTAAAATAAAATTTTTGATGTGCCATTATTGTATCTATTAGAGTTATGATTCAATGGTTAAAATAATCGTTACTTTTTTATACCAAAAATAAATAGACTTGTAATCCTTTATAAAATTACTATTCCCTTATTTCCACTCGAGAGCTAGGGCATTGCAAATGCAAATGTATTTGAGCAGAAGGATGAAGTTTTTGTACGGCGTAGGCTTTATAGAAACAAAATAAAGCCTCACCTCAAATTCTTATTAGATAAGTACACTTCTAGAAAAAGTAATTTTTATAAAGGCTAGAAAATCAATTTTCAACACTGACAATAAAATTTGAAACTCAAAAAAAAGGCACAGATCTTCCAAATTTGTAAACACTTATTTTCAAGGTGAAATAAACAGTTTAGATAATTTGTTCCAATATAGAGCGTTTTCCCAATACTTGAAATCGTAATTTTGGATGAGTTATAGGATGAAGCTTTACTTGGGCCCTGTCAAAACATTTTCCAGAAGGAAATGCTAGAAGTAAATGCTGAGAGAGAGAACTTCAGCTTCTTCTAAACTTTGAATTCCAGAGAAATATAATTTTTTCAAATTCAACCCCCATAAACCCCAAAAAATGAAAAGGAAAAGAGTATTCATGTAACCAACTAAGATCATACTCTTAATGCATTACCATGAAAGTAACGAGTCTTTTCCAAGTTTTTAACCCTCTGAATTTTATTTCCAGCATGAATCTTTGGCACATCACTTATAAGTCCAGTGATCATGCAAATCCCATGGAAACGAGGGAGGTTGCTCTACTGTGAAGAGATTGAAAGGCCCATCTGTGATCATGAAGCTATGTTCATCTTCTACCTTAGAGAAAGGATGGTAAGAATAAGGAGGAGGTTTTGTTGGAGGAGAGAGATGATGAGTTGGAGGAGGGGCTGAAGCCTCTTCTTGTGCAAAGCAAGCGAGTGTGAGTTGATGAGAGATGAGGGCTGGTCTATTCGGGCTGTTGTCGATGCCACTACCTTCGCTCTCTTCGGATCCATCTCTCACTTCACTCCCATTCTTCACATTTCCTCCTTCAGTTAGTTTCTCTCTCAACTGGTTAAGCTGCTCATAGCACAAGGATCACACAGATTTAAGGGCTGGACAGTCTTTTTACAAATAACTAGATGAGTTGCCTTTTGAAGAGGAGTTGCCTTCTTTCTTTTCTTTCATCTTCTTTCCTCTCCATTCCATTTTCTTTTTTTTTATTTTCTTTTCTTTTCTTTTTCTTTTTTTTTTTTCTTCTTTTCTTTTTTTTTTTGCGTGTGTGGTGGGGGAAGAGAGAGGGAGATTTTGTGTAGTTCATGTTGGTCACTTGGCCTAACATTTTAAACATATAATCTAATTATGAGGAATTTACCAGTCCTATGTGCTAGTATTTATTTTTCAAGCTGAGGTCTTAAATGTTTGTTGAAAACTCAGATGTGATGTGTGGGTGACAGAGAGTAAAAGAATTTGCACTAGCTGTGACAAAACCTTGAAAGAGAGAGAGAGAGAGAGTAAAGAATTTGCACAAGCTGTGAGAAAACCTTGAATGGGTAGAGAGTGAGCAATCGAATTTCGGTGTGTTCGGCAATTCTATAGAGAGTAAAAGTATTTGCAACCATAGTAAAAGAATTTTGAATTTTAAAAATTCAAATACCAAATACAATTATGTTCATCGGATCAGCCCGTCCAGGTTCGATATGGACCATTAGGCTCATAGAATTCCATCGGCTAAGCTCACAAGATCTTTTCCCTATACATATATAGAGAGAGAGACTATGTGTGTGTGTTGCAGTAGCAGTAGTGAAAAAAAATTGCACCAGCTGTAAGGGAGATTTTAAAGGGGGCACTCCTGCTATTTCCAAAAGTCCAGGATCCTTCAAGATAAGATTGTGAAAACGAAAACACATGGACATCTCTGACCTACTGGAATTAATTCCTCTCTTTCTCTAAAACTAAACATCATCTCTCTACTGTAAAATTAATGGAATTCAACGTACCTCTGATACAAGCCTCTCCTTGTCATGTTCCAACGCTTTGAAGCTGTGTTTTAGTGAGTCATAACTGACTCTAAGCACCCCATATTCTCTCTCTAGCTGTTTGGTTTTCCACCTCGCCCTTCTATTCTGAAACCATATGGCCACTTGCCTCGGCTGTAACCCCAAATCTCTAGCAAGCTTCAGCTTCCTCTCAGGCTCAAGCTTGTTTTCAACATCAAAGCTCTTCTCCAATTCTCTCACTTGCTCTGCACTCAACCTCCTCTTCTTCATCTCTCCACATGGTTCCCCATCAAAACCATCCTTCAAGCTCCATACTCCATCATCTGAAAACCCAACAAAAAAAAAAGAAGAAACTGTAAGATTTTCACAAGATAAGGAAAAATTGAGAGATGGGTTCTTTTTGTTTCTCCCTCTTGATCGCTCATAACATGTTGTAGAATATAGTTCAGAAGAAAAATGTAAAATGTGTTTTTTCTTTTTGCTCTCTCTCTAGATAATCATCACCTGTCATGGGAGGGTATGTGGAGACAGGGCTGCCCAAAGAGTCTTCTAAACTTGGGGACCTCTTCATGGCTGACGAGCTGTGTCACTTTTAGACAGAGAATGGAAGAGAGTGACTTGGACTTGCCATGGATCTAGCTCCTTCTTATAGTTTGGAACTAGCACAGTTCTCTGTAAGAAAGAGACTGGGTTTTGAAACTGTACCCTCTTATTGGGTTTAGAGAGAGAGAAAGCCAAGTGAAAAACACCAAGGAAATTGAAAGGGTATTTGGAGATGAGAAATTGGTCCTTATATGGGTCTGGAAAATAAAAGTTTTTAAGGGTTGTATTTTATAAGTATTTTCAGTGTATAGGGTATGTATTTATAATTGATAATATATAAAGAAACTCACTTAGGTCTACAGTAAATACTTTTTGGTTCACAAAAGCAACGACGGTAGTGGTTGCAACCACATGTCACAACACACAACTCTTCCAAACAGCGTGCCCATGCAACCTCACCGCAACTAACTTGTTTTATTTGGAGACAAAGATGATACAATCATTATTTGCGATTAGATGTGAAATCAAAACAGTAATTACAGATATGTTATAGAAAAAATTTATATGGAGTATCAACTTTATACCGTTGAAATAAAATGTACTTCAAAAATCTCCCTTGAAGGAGACTTCTTTTTTGGATCACCCTCCCATTTGATCATATCGACTTCAATATGATTTTTTCGACAACGATGTATTTCGTTGTGGAGTGAATAATACTATCCACTTATTCCGTTACGTGAAAAATATATAATGAAATTATTTACTTTTGATACAAGGTGGTCATAATTAATGCGGACCATTAAATGTGAAATTAGATGGTAGCATTTATTCCATGACTAAGTTCCAACTTCAAAATAATTTTTTTTCAAATTTTGTGACACACCCAAACTATCAAATAGTCATAAGTAAATGTGACCCCCTTATATTAAAGGTAAATGGACTCATTGTATACAATCCTAAACAAATTTTATGTGCAATTTTGGGATCGACTTAATAATTTTTAAGTGATTATTTTCATAAACAAAATTTAGGATTTTATGTTTTTTAACGGTTTAGATCCTGCTGTCCACACTTGGATGATCTATGTTTTAGAACATTTTTTCAAGCTCATAAATTGTGAGTTCGAATATTTTTCTTTTTAAACTATGTCAATAGGTTGGAGGGGATCCATCCCCAAAATTTGGAGTTCTAAAACACCCTTATGTTGGGGATTCATCCCTAAAATTTGTAGTCCTAAAGCACGCTTATGTTGGGCTATGTCCGAGGGAGCACAGGATCTGTTTGAAAATCCCAAGAAATGATAGTTTTTTCGGTGAGAAAAGCAAAGTAACTTGTTGCTTCGTTTGATTTGGTGGAAGACTTCGATTTTTTTAATTTGATATAATTAAATTATTATATTTATAAATAATAATAGTAATAATTAATTAATTAAAAAAACAATTTTTACATAAATATGTTTTTTGCTTCTGCCGAATCGACCCCAAACTTACTGAAACGGCAGTATTAGGCTTTGTTTCGCTTCAAGCTAAATTTAAAATCCGGCCGAAATGAAATGAATGAGAATACTTTTTGAAAGGATTTAAAATGACAAAAAAAAAAAAATTTCTCATGTACATAAACAATCTGTAATCAATCATCATTTCAAACATTCAGCACCCAAATTCTTACGCATCAAAGGTGGCTCATTACGTACGAGAACGGCCGGCGTACTAAAGAGAGAGAGAATATGTGAGTGATGTAACTGGGTCTGGCGTGTAAGTTATGTTTTTCCTTTGTTTTGCATATATTCATGAGCGCTTATATTAGTGGTCGGAGGAAAAGTTTTTATTTGTTTGATTGATTGATGAAGAACCTCGTGTATAGTTTAGTTGCTAAAGACACATTTTCATGTCCTTGTCATCAAATTCAATATAAAGCAAAATAAGTAAATTCTTACAGCAAAACTTATAAAAAATTGTAGTCTTGGTATCGAAAAATGATCATCTTAGCTTTGGCATTGTAACAAAAATAATAGGATTTCAACATCTAAAAATAATATATATTATAGAAAAAATATCCAATTATTCTTTATTTTTAACTTCTATATCTCATCCGACCCAAAATTTGAAAATATTACTTGTAAGCAAAAAGACTTAATCTTTTCTATCTTTCAACCCCCTAAACCCTTTTGACTACGTATTATTGATCTCAACAACTTATGAAATATCTTTATCTCTCTCTAAAACTTCATCTCTCTTTCACGTCATCGTCTCTCTCTCAAAACTTCATCTCTCTCTAAAACCCAAACTCCATCCCTCTCTCACGTCATCGTCTCTCTCTCAAAACTCCATCTCTCTCCCTAAAACTCAAACTCCATTTTTCTCTTTAAAACTCAAACTCTATCTCTCTCACACATATAAAAAAGTGTGCTCGTGTTTGAGCTCAAGCTAAACCTCTTGGCTGGTAAACTCACCGAGAAGTGAAGAAAGAGAGATGGAGTTTTAGAGAAAGAGAGATAGAGTTTAAATAGGGTATCATTTTAGTGTGGTCAAAAATTTATGGTCAAAAAAGTCTAGGGGATTGTAAGATATAAAAAATGGAGACATTTTACTTACAAATAATATTTTCAATTTTTAGATCTCATGGGATACGGAAGTTAAAAATACGAGATAAAGAGGTCTTTTTTTATATTATAATATATTATCATCAATTTCACTATAAAAATAAGTATTCATAGATCCACAAGATTTGTACTATTTATTAAGCTTCAAACTTTATAGTTGGAGTTGAAAATTGTATATGGAGTTAATCCTGGAAATTTTTAATCCTCAAAATGCCTTATGCGAATTACATCTATTCATAAATTTATGAACCCATTTTTCTTTCTCTCTCTTTTCTCTGACATGGGACAAAGTGATTGGCTATTTGGAGGCCGCGTATTAAAACTTCAAATATTTATGGACCACGTGTCAATTGAATATAATATAGTTCATTTTTCTTTTATTTTTTATTTAACTCGCAAACTTCAATTGGCTGCTGCATTTATCTCACGTGAAGTTCGTTCAGTAAAATTGGGATTCATGAGGTGGCAAACATGGACATGTGAAGTAGCAATTAACCCTTATGAAGCGTGAATAGCATATTTATCACATGGGAAAACAATTATGGGAACTTGTGGATAACCAACCTACGCCTCCCATCGGGGTAGATTGTATACAAATTATGATCAAAAGAGTTATTTAGGAGAATCTTAATGACTTAATATTTGAGGTCCGCTATATAAATCTGAATATATCATTATACTCTAATAAGAGTTATATTCTGATTTCATAACTTCTAATAATATCATCTTGGGTATACTTTTTGTTTTTTTTAATCCTTCCACTTGAATTAATTTACATTTTGTAATAGGTGTTTCACTGGGTATGCGCCTCATATGATCAACCCACCTAAGTATTGACTTGATATTTGGATATCCATTTAAGAAATACTTCATAAAATGGTCATAACTTAGTGTTGGTCCTGCTTGAGCAAGGTCCGCAAAGGGTGAGCTAATAACATTTGACTTATACACAAAGTGGCTGCTCTCAGGACTCAAACTCGCGCTCTTGCGCTAGCTACTGGATCCTTTTACTGTCTCAGCAAGTGACTGCCCCTTCTAACATTGAAATCATGCCTTCAATGAATTGGACAATTCCTATTCAACCCTGGGATGTTACTAGAGTATGAGAAATCCCCGAGATGTTACTAGAGAGTTTGATTTCATATTTCTCAATTAGTCGCTAAGTTCAAGAAGTTATATCCCCAAAACTTGAGATCTTATTATTGAGGGGAGAAAATTCACAATATCTTTTATGAGAGTGGTCATCTCATTTGAGGTCTTAAAACCAATAATTTAAAAAATGTCAGGTCGGCATGGAATCGTCCAGTCCGATCTAAGAATCAGTCGTCCCATTCTTGTTCTACATATATAGGAAACAGTCAAGTCTAGAAGGGAATTGTTGGTTCCGCACAATAAAATGACAATTATCTATAGTAAAACAACGATCCAAACCGTCGATCCACCAATCTGCACTGTTTTTTTGCTTGTTCACTAGTTTTTCATATATTTTTTCACCGATTCACTATTTTTTTGTACAATAAAGTAGCGATCCTAATTGCCGATTCCTCGATCCAAATCAATTTTGTGGGTGCCTTATCAGGGTGATCAGTCCATTCTCTAAGTCACTTGGTACAACTAAACTCTAAGCCCTATATTCATGTGTCATTTTACTCCTCAGTAACATGACTTTTTTTTATAATGAGAACAAAATTGACTGACTGGAAATCGTTTACGCACCAAAAATGAATTTTATGTATCCAAAAAAGTTAGAAGTAAAAAGAGGCGTAGGGGGTTAGAAAGTCAGCAACCGACCACGACGATGCCGACATGGTTGGCGGTGAGGGGGTGGGGATTCGCAAAGGCAGAGAGGGGTGGGCCCCACTCAACCCCCATGAACCTGCTCTTAGCTGGCGTCACCTTGTCCTTTCCCCCCCCCCTACTCTCTTCTTGGACTAGGGTTTGGTTTCTCAGCATTTCCCATCCCCCCTCCCTAGTCATATCAACTCTCTTTCTCTCTCTTCTTTATGAAGAGTGATATAATTTCTCTCTCTCTCTCTTCTTTATGAAAAGTGATATAATCTCTCTCTCTCTCTTCTTTTGACAGGATATATCATCTCTCTCTTCCCTTTCTAATACCCTATCTCTCTCCTCTTCTGTCTTTTTCATCCTTTCTCTGTCCTCTTTTTTTTTTCTCTCTCCTCTGCTCCCTCTCTCATGAGTCATAATCCAGGCGTGAACCACGATTGTATATTTTTGTCTAATGTCAATTTCAGGAGGTAGATTTGTCAAAGCATGCAATCCACGTACACTTTATTCATCCGTTTCTTGCAAGCACACTCACTGGGTTTCAATATCGTGATAATTTTTTAATTTTGCCCCGCATCAAAAATTTAAGTCCTTTTTATGGAGGCAAAGTTTTCGATGACTTTGGAGCCACGAAATGGGACCTAACAAAAAACTTTTAAACAAAGTTTTTATTTGGCTACTTTGTTTAATTAAATATTTTTTTAACCTCTTTAATTTTTTTGGATACTGAGATCCTCTTATCCTACAATATAGTAAATTTTCGGTTTAGGGGGACATTTTATGTTTTTAATCAACAATAAAGTAAAAAAAAATTGTAGAAAGAAAATCATTTATTGATCATATATTAGGACTAGAC